TAATTGCATAAAATTGATAGTAATGCAAACAATTATTGTTCACAGAAATGCAAATTGGTTTTGTCCAGTGGAAAGCAATCGATGATTGCTCTTTGGGCATCGACCAGTTGTCCATCTACTTACATATTCATTCCAGGATTCTTCATACCTTGTAGGTGCCTGTGGCTTGGATTCCCCTTTGAACTGGGTCATAACATTTTGCAGGTTTCTTCGTCAAAGAGTGTCACAGTTTGAATTATGGCCCCAAAAAGATATGTTCAAGTCCTGATTGCCAGTGACTGTGCGTGTGACCTCATCTGGTTGGAAAGGGCCCTGATCACTTGCCTCGGCCGCCACCTTAGGGCTGTGTTAACTTTCCGGCTGCATCCCACTGCCCAGGCAGGTGAAATGGTGCTGGCACCTGGGTTTGTTTGTTTGTTTTTAACCTAAGCACAACAGACATGTTGATGCATTCAGATGACCCGCCCATGCCCCCGTGGGCCCTCACCACGAGCCCCAGACCACATGGAAGGTCGCCATGAGCGACCCCAAGGTTTTTAACAGGGTCCTTGGGACCCGACTTAGGTTCGTAGACTGCGTCTCCCTGCTCATCCGCTAGAGGGTGGCAGCGTCTCATGTTCGCCACGGAGACAGCTTCCGGGGATTCTTCTGGGGTTGAGCCCATCTGGAGTGCTGAGACCCTCTGAGAGTCAGCAGAATGCAGCCATTGGACCCTCCGAAGGGCCAACATCAAAAGGAGGTGGTAACTGTGGCCCCCAGGCCCTGGCCCCCCAGCACTTCAGAATCACTTGGGGGGTCCCCACCCCCAGACACCAGTGTCAGAAACTCTGAACTTGGCTACAGGATTGGAAATTCAAGCGTGTCGATTTAAGTATTTTAATATCTTTTCCTTTTCCTTTTTGGGGGAGGGGGCATAGGTCTCACCGCAGATTTTTCGGGGACGGGCTTGGCGAGGAGACTTCCCAGCTGCTCAGCCACAGAATGCGCTACAAACTCGCCGTGGCCGGGAGAGGCCCCACGTGGCGCAGGGCTGTCCCTTACTGGTGGACACTTAGGTTGTTTTCAACTCCTTTTCATGGACAGCAGTGCCAAAGGTGTCCCGAAAATGTGCATTTCCCTTGGGGTGGGTGCCTGCGTGTGCCGAGCAGAGCAGCACGCACTGTCTGTGAAAGTCTCTTGTCAAACTGCCCCCCACCCAGTTCCTGCCAGCAGTGTTCCCCCCTAACTCCCAACATACCCATGTTAAGAAATCTTTGGCTCTTTGCTAATCTAAGTGGTTTAAAAGAGGAACTCTGCAGTTTAAAATTTCATTTCTCCTACCACAAGTCAGGTCAAACAACTTATATGTTTCAAAGTTATACTTTCCCTTTGTTCTATAAATTGGTTATATCCTTGACCCAGTTTTTAATTGGGTTCTTGGATTTTGTCTTACCTGTTTGTACAGCCTCTTTTCATAGTAAGGCTTTATCCCTAAATATTTGCAAATACAAAACTTCCTCATTTGTTTTTATTTTGTTATCATTAATCTGCAATTACATGAAAAACATTATGTTTACTAGGGTCCCCCCTTCACCAAGTCCCCCCCACAAACCCTATTACAGTCCCTGTCCATCAGCGTAGTAAGATGCTGTAGAATCACTACTTGTCTTCTCTGTGTTGCTCAGCCCTCCCTGTGCCCCCCACGTTATACATGCTAATCGTAAGACCCCCTTTCTTTTACCCCGCCCTTATCCCTCCCTTCCCTCCCATCCTCCCCAGTCCCTTTCCCTTGGGTAACTGTTAGTCCATTCTTGGGTTCTGTGATTCTGCTGCTGTTTTGTTCCTTCAGTTTTTCCTTTGCTCTTATGCTCCACAGATGAGTGAAATCATTTGATACTTGTCTTTCTCCACCTGGCTTATTTCACTGAGCATAATACCCTCTAGCTCCATCCATGTTGTTGCAAATGGTAGGATTTGTTTCTTCTTATGGCTGAATAATATTCCATTGTGTATATGTACCACATCTTCTTTATCCATTCATCTGCTGATGGACACTTAGGTTGCTTCCATTTCTTGGCTATTGTAAATAGTACAGCCTCATTTGTTTTTTGAATTTGTCTTTGTTTAAAGTAGTTTTGTTTGTATAAATTTTTCAATTATGTGAGGTAATTAATCCTTTATTATTTTGGCTTTGTGAGCTTATAATATTCTCCCCATGCTTTCTTATGATACTTTTATGGTTATTTTTTAATGTTTACATCTTTGACGGAGCCCCTTTAGGGGGCTGTTTAGGATTTATTCAGGATTAAGATCCAAAGCAGGAATCTGTGTCAGTCAGGGTTCAGGTAGGAGAGACATGACACCCTCAGGTGGGGAGGCTTGAGGAGGGCTGGGTGAGGGGTTAAGCTGAGGGCAGGGTATAGACAGAGGACTGGGGCCACAGCAGGTCCACCCTTAGGCCTGAGAGGACTGCTTGGCAGGAGCTGAGGCCTGCAGGTGAGGCTCCGGCCCAGAGAGGCCCGGGGAATTCCTAATCCCACCCCAGTCCCCTGTGGGGTTCCCCATGCGGCAGCCAGGAGGCAGGGGGGCCAAAGGAGCACCTGCAGCTATGGGCAGGGGAAGGGGAACAAGGGATGCTGGGTGTCGGCATAGGAGGAGCCCGGTCGGTCACTGAATCAACGCGCTGACCCAGGGCCGGGCTCCCTGAGGAGCTCCTCCGGGACAGAGTCCTGAAGGTTCTGGAGGCCAAGGAAAAGCCCATGTGGGATGAGCTGGCCATGAGCGGGTCTGGACAAGGCGGAGGCTGGCCTTCCTGGCCCAGGGCTGTCCACCTGAGCTTGTGGGGCAGTGGGGATGCTGGGTGGGACCCCTGAAAGACTCCAGCAAGTGTGTCAAGCTTGTTCTAAGAAGTTACAACACTCCTTGACATAAAACTTTAAACCATAAATCAGAGTAACAACATCTAAAATCTTGGTGATTTCCCCAGGATGACTATTTGGACACTTTTGGGAATAAAAGCCAACTTCTTAAAACCATTGTTTTCGGTGCCCTGCTTTGATGGTTCCCTAAACACTTACTTGCTGGGTTAGAAATTCAGTCCCCAGGTGGGTTGTGCAGATCTGGGAGAGGAAGTGGGGCCCTGGGCCAGCGCACACAGCCCAGAGAGAGGGGCTTGGTGGTTGTCTTGCAGGAGCTGCTGACTGCACTGTGGTGCGGAGGACACAGGAGTCCCGGGCTACTGGAGATGGTCTGAGAAGGGCTTGGGCCTGTGGGCCATGGAGACAGTGTCTAGGCCAGAGGAGACAGTGGAGAGGCCAAGAGAGCTAGTGGGATGCTCTTGGTGCCCCTGGTGGAAGGTGGCCAGGACCTACAGGACGCCCACCTGTATATGGGCTGGGGCAGGGGGTAGTGGGGGTTTGAGGGCAGAGATCAGCTTTTCTGGTGGCAGTTGAATTTGGAGCACCCATGGGGACCCAGATAGGAGCCCCTGGGGGTTGAGGGTGACATAGGCCCTCTGTGTGGGGTGCGCTGAGGGTTTACCTGTTGCTTGTCTGACCCTGGGGCTCACCACCCTGGTTTGCCTGGACAAGAGGTTTCCTGGATGGACCTCGGTTTTAAGATCAGGACAGTCCGGCCACCCGGCTGTATGTCAGTTCCTGATATAGCAGAGCTGCCTGGCGGCAGCTGCTGTATTCAAAGGCTGGGCCCTGCAGGAAGGAGGCACAGAAGCCAGGTCAGAGATGAAGCCAAGGAAGCCGTGGACACAGAGGCAGCCCTGCCCACCACACCTACCGGCTCTCAGGCAAGGTGTCCAGCCTGTCCTGGATGGCACTGTGCGACTTGGGGGCACCGGGACCCCCTTCTCTCTTGTCCCAGGACCCCCCGTCTCCTGCCCTATACACCCTGGGTCTTGCCCGTCCTTTGATTTCCTTGGTGATTCCTCCTGGTGTGTGGGGGAGCGAGAGAGGACCACCGGAACCCTGCTTACCCAGAGTGGGGCTCCTTTCACCTTGACTGTACAAGGCAGGACTGCTAAACATTTTCATGGTAAATTCATTTTCAGAGCCGTTGTTGAGATTCTGGAAGCAGAGAAAATGCATTTGCTCCATCACCTTTCTGGATATGACAAGTCCTATAAAATCTATTAAAGCCTTTAATGAAATCCCTGCTCAGAGCTGCTCCCTGAATGAATGTGGATTTGAAATTTAGATTAAAATGGGTTTTTTTGTAGTCTGGAGGTTTTTCCTGGGAAGAAATTAAAGGGATAGCTCACCTTTCTGCTATCCTTAGGCTTGGTGGCCCTCTGGCTGGGTGCTGGGATCCTTCACCAAGCCTCAGCCCGGCAAAAGTGTAGGTCAGTGTGGAAGCAGCAGCTGGGCCCACATGCAAAGCTGTTCCCACCTCAAGCCCCACAGACGACCCCATGCAGAGGGGAGCAGGTGTACCTGTGGGCCATGTAGCCACTTGGGTCTGGAGATAAACGCCTCCACTTTTAAGTAAGTGCAATCCCCATAGTCTGGGGGAGAGAGATACATCCCGAGCAGTTGTCAACAGCCCTGAGAGGAAAGTCGGAGCAGTCATGGCACAGCTGGAGAATGGGGAAGGGTTGGTGTAAAGGGACACAAGTCAGCAGAGCAGGAACATGGAACAACAACCCAGATAAAGGGACCTGCACTTGGGACTACTTGGGGGGCTGCAGAGGGCCTGGCAGGTGTGGTGGCTGGCCCAGGAGGCAGTGCGGTGACTCTTCCCTCCTCACCTGAATCCTGACCTCTGACTTCAGGCCCATTCCATGGTCCATCACTGAGAAGAAAACCCAAGGCCTCTCTTCTCAGCTGCGTCCTGGAGTCTGCTGTCCCATGTCTTCCACCAACTACTCTCATAGCCCTGCCTGGGGAGACAGTCAGGCACAGACATGCAGAGCCCTGGCATTGCACAGCTCCCTTACGTGGAGCCTGTGTGGATATAGCTATGTGAAAATGCTCTGAAGACCAACACGTGCTTCCTTTCCTGTTTTCCAGGTTGGCAGTGTCACCCCATTCCTTCTCTGATGGAATATTTAAATTAAAAAGAAACATATTAAAAGTGTGTTGCAAGTGACAACAGGAGGGATTCAAGATGACAGCATGAGAGGTGAGACAGAAAACTCCCCCCAAAACCACATATAATATGAAAATATAGTTAATACAAATAATCCTAAAGGAGCAAGAAAAGAAGGCTGCACCAGACTGCCCACACCTGGAGAACATAGCAGACCTCGTAAAACAGGGTAAGGTACCAAGGCCTTGATCCAGTGGGACCCAAGCCCTCCCCCAACCCCAGCTCACTGCTGGGAGGAAGAGAAATGAAGCAGGGAGGGGGTGGAAGCCTAGAACTGCTGAACACCCAGCCCTGGAGATCTGCTCTGGGAGCACAAACCTACATTGCATGGTGCTCTGGAGATTGGTGGGGTGGGAAAGCTAAGACAGGAGGAATACTTGGAGAGAATGAGATTCCAGCTGTTTGTGGAGGACAGGGATCGACATCTGGATGCCCTGGGACAAAGGAAAGGTGGGCGGTCTGAGAGGCTTCCTAGCAGCGAGAGGGCTGCTGAGGGGGCGGGGTTTGCACCAAGCTTACTGTGTAGGAGAAGGGAGAGCTGGACAAGGTTGTACGGGTGCACTCTGCCCAGCAGGTTGGGAACTTTCAGGAGCTTCAGGTGCTCCATCCCCCTGGCTGGCCACACAGCTCCGAGGCCCCCCACTCTGATAATGCAGCCTGCTGTGCTTTCCTCCAGGCCTGCTGCCACCAGCTCACAAACTGGCAGTCCCTGCCCTGGCGTCAGGCGAGCCAGAGGGAGGCCCCACCTATGGCAGCTACAAACACAGAGCACAGAGGCCGACACCTGTGCACTCAGCCCGCTGGTTCTGACAGTGGAGACAGGCAGAGCAGCCAGGAAGCAAGAAACAGCTCTTTCCTCCCCCCAGACACCAGTGCCACTCCCCTGCCACCCCCGACATCACTCCAGGGGCTGAGCAGCTCCAGAGAGTACAGCTTCTGGGCACTAGAGGGCGCCACATACAAATATGAAACGTCAAAGGAACCTAGGTCATACTAAAATCTCACAAACACCAGAAAAAGGGCCAAATGAAACAGAACTAACCAATCTTCCTGAAAGAGAGTTCAAAATAAAAATCATAAACATGCTCATGGAGGTACAGAAAAATATTCAAGAACTCAGGGATGAATTTAAGACAGAGATTCAATCATTAAGAAATTCCATATGTGAAATGAAACATACAATGCAGGAATTTAAGAGCAGATTAGATGTAGTTGAAGAGACGGGAAATAGAATAGAAATTAGAGAAGATGAATACAAAGAAGCTGAGGCACAGAGAGAAAAAAGAATCTCTAAGAATGAAAGAATATTGAGAGAACT